AGAGAGAGAGAGAGAGAGAGAGAGAGAGAGATATTTTAATATTTATTTATTTATTTTAGTTTTCAGTGGACACAATATCTTTGTTTGTATGTGGTGCTGAGGCCGCACGCATGCCAGGCAAACGCGCTACCACTTGAGCCACATCCCTAGCCCTCCTTTATAGCTGTTTTATGCAGTATATTAAAAACAGGCTGCTAGGGCTGGGAATGTGGCTCAGTGGTAGAGTGCTTGCCTGGCATGAATGAGCCCTGAGTTTGATTCCCAGCACCACAAAATAAATAAATAGAAAAATAGGCTGTTAATAGACATTAGAATACCAGAAAGCACAACAGTATGTATGGAGATTATTTGAAACAATAATGTCAACATGTAAATTCAACATAATTCCCCAATTCCTGATCTGTCTGGATTTAAGAGAAGAGCTTAAGGATGCTCTCAATTATAGTGGTTTCATATATTTTCATAGAAAACCACAATTATGTCTAATTTTAGAGAGTATTTTAGCTTTAGTGTCTCAGTTGGTACCATAGTTACTTTCTTTTGACAGTCCTAGACCATAAAATCAGGGACAAAGTCCACCTCTCTTGCGGCTTACATATCAGGTCCATAGGACTACAAAACCACTATGGGAAAGCAGAGACCTCACCTCAGCATGGACAGAGTTGATGTGATACTTGACACCACTCTCCGATACAAATTCTTTCTGACATAGAAGACACTTGTATTTTCCAGCCACAAAGTTTCCCTATTTCCAAAAGAGAAAGAAAATAAAGTTATTGGTAAATTCAGGAACACACACCTGGATTATGTGCAGGGACTGTTAGAGATGAAAAGGGAGATATTATTAGAGCAAAGGAAAAGATTCAAAACAGCAGTATGTTTAGGAAAACCAACTTAGACTCTCACCAATGCAAATCTGTCCTAATGCAATTCTATACAAACACCTACCCCGACTTCAACAAGACCTGATGACTTTCTACTTCTATATTATGTACCACGCCACATTTTTGTACTTTCTCAGGTTCCTTTCACTTCACTTTCAGGTTCTTTTGTTCTTCCCCCAAATGAGCAAACTCCCCAAGTTCACCAGAAGCACCAATATGCAATTCTTCCCACTATAATCCACTGCTGCAAACAGTGCCTTGGAAATCCAGAATTAGAAGAATACCATCCATAATGCCTAGTTTAAGGACTCAAAAACTAGGATCAAGATGACAAACTCCTAAGCATTCCTGGACAGATCTGGTTGGGATGCCTACAACTCCCTTATTGGCTTCAACTGAGACTTCTCTCCCCTCCTGAAGCTTCAGGTTTCCATGGTGCTCATTTTGTGTGAGGAGATACTTCTGAATGAGATTGGAAAGTGGCAGCATTTCCCATGGCTCGTGGGTTGTAGGACACCTGGGTCAACATGGAAAAGATTCAGTGAGGTGAATGGCTGTTAGTCTGACACTCTATCCCATCTCCCATCCCCAGAGGCCATATAGTTCAAATAGGTTTGGAAGATCTTCACCAATCCAGATAAGTACATGTAGCTTTTTTCCCCAGAAAGTTAAGGTCCAATAAGACAGAACAAGTCCAGTGTGGGAGAGGCTCAGAGGGAATCTCTGGTAGGGACTCAGAACTCATGTATTTTTCTCCAAATTCCTTTATTTAGTATGGCGTACAGCTATGTTGGCCTTCTCTGTGTCTTGGGCATACCCTGGAATCCCATCCAACATGAGACTAAGAATCTTTGCAACACAGAAGCCTTTAAAGCAGCCTCTGAAGATAACAGTAAACAGGATGACTAGCTGTTCACCTAAACTGAGTTCTCTTCCATGTCAGACTATTTTAAAGGATATATTAAGATATTAATTTTAAAAAATTACAAACCAATGTACAAGAGCCCAGGTGAGCTTTAAGGCCAGATACACTACTGTAGACAGCCTCACAACCCTGAAAAAGAAAAGAATAAGGTGAAGGCTACACCAGAAACATCCTTCTCTTAGCAATCTGGCCATTTATACGATCAACTGTACATTTAGAAGATCAATATACAGTGCCCCAAAACAAACACAAAATGAATCCACATGTGAGTCACAAAAGCATGAAGGAAAACAAGGAATGCCAATATAGTGCAGTGGAAGAACACTTGACTAGCATGCATGAGGCCCTGGATATGATCTCCAAGACTACAGGTGGATCCAAAAAAAGGGAAAAAGAAAAGAAAGTCAATAAATTGTTCAGGAAAGTTTAATCCATTTCTTTTCCTGGTATTTTCTGTGATACTTAACAGAAATACAGAAAATTCCATGTTTAGATTTTTAAAAAATCCTTTTTATGTAGAGCAAATGTGTCTCCTACTCCTTTTATTTATTTCTTCCTAAGTATTGCTTATATAGTTGTGATTACAATCTTAAAGATGGCTAAAAAATCTCTGCCCCTCTTGTCATCAAGAAGTGCAGTCTATTTACCCTCCCTCTGAGTCTGGGTTGGCCCTGTGATGTTTTTGACCAATACAATGCCATGAAAGTAATGCTGTGAAAATTTAAAGTGAGGCATTCAGAGATATGCAGCTTCTGCTTTCCTGTTCTTAGAACAGTCATTGTGACCCTGCTGGTAGTCCAACTATCCTGCTAAAAAGAGAGGCCAGATGGAGGGCCAGGTTCCTAGCTGAATGCAACTGCAAAGAAGCCATCTGGGACATTCCAGTCCGAGCACTGGCCTGCTCATCTGACAAGAATTATTCATTTATAGAATTGTGAAGAAATAAAAATAACTGTTGTTTTAAGCCACTACAGTTCAAGGGCTTTGTTATGAAAGGAATAAATAATTGAAAACAAGAGCAGACGCTTCAGAAACATTTACTGAATTAATGAAAGAGAAAGAACTACCTGGTTAGGACACTGAATACGATGATACTTCTTGATATCTGTCTTCCATTTGTGTAGTACTTCCTGGCTGAAGGTAGGTAGACCAGGGCGAGTATATTTTAACTAGAAGATAAGAAACATTTTATTGCAGGACTGCAACTCCCAATGAAAATATCCCAAAAGCTTCACACCCACCTCTTTAGGTTATGTATTTCAGTAATCCACGTTTATCTTCATATAGAAAAAACTCTAAGATGTAAGACCCTCTAAAGTACCCAAAACTGACAAATATAAGTGGCTTCATTTAGGCTTAGAAGACTTTTGGATATAAAGCTTCATTGTTGTTAAAACAATTTTCTGTTCTTTTTTTTTTTTTTTAAAGCTGTAGAGCATATACATAGAAATAAAATATTTGAGGGAGGACGACAAAGGGAGGAGGAGCAATAGAGAGTGCACGCACAAGGAGCTGAACACAGTGGTGCACACCTATAATCCCAGCTACTTAAGAGGATGAGGCAAAAGGATCCCAAGTTCCAGGCCAGCCTAGACTACTTTATTAGACACCATCTCAAAAAATAAAAAGGGCTAGGAATGTAGTACAATAGTAGAGCACCCCTAGGTTCAATCCCCAGTACCTCGTAAAAGAAGGGAAAAAAGAGACAGGACTATAAAGATGTATTCATATAGTCATTCATATATGTAGATGATAAAAAGAAGCCATAAACTTTTAAATGTTAACAGTAGTATTCTCTGGGTAATCAAATTTGGGATGATTTTAATGTTTTCCTCTGTTAATCTGTATTTCTTTTCTTTTTTTTTAGTTATAGTTGAGCACAATATTTTATTTTATTTTTATGTGGTGCTGAGGATCGAACTCAGTGCCTCACACATGCCAGGCGAGCACTCTACCACTGAGCCACAGCCCCAGCCCTTAATCTGTATTTCTATTCTTCAATTATAACATGCTAAATTTTGATATTTTTTAAATTCTAAAACAAAACAACTGAAGTTCAATCTAAAAGATGCAAAGAAACCAGGAAACATAACATGTAATCTTTGCTTATCTGCAAAAGCAGAATAATTTCTAGACCTCCTTTCACATACTTTCACATGAGTTACATGTACAACAACTGCAAGTGGAACTTTCAGAGACAGCACCTGCAGAGACAGTTCCTGCACAGTCCACCTGGGTAAGAGCTTTACTTCTGGCAAGCAGTCTCCGTGATTCAACAATAAAGTATCTTAAAAGGAATCGGAACTCTGAGAAAAGCAAATCAAAGCCCAGAGAGGTAATGGGGGAAAGAAAGTAGCTGAAAGAGGCCCTGGTAAAGCTAAACCAGAGCAGAGAGTAGGTATTATTTATAAGCATTTATTCTCTCAGCAGCTAGTACAAATGAGCCCATCTAAAATTCTTTTATGGTGAAAGGGGAATATTTATATAATATTACTTTTATACAATAAACGACCTTAGTTATAAAAATTATGTACTAAGTAGCACTTAAAAATAGACAATGAGGGGCTGGGGTATGGCTCAGCAATAGAGCACTCACCTAGCACATGCGAGGCCCTGGGTTAGATCTCAGCACCACATAAAAATAAATAAAAGTATTGTGTCTAACTACAACTAAAAAAGAAATAAAGAATAGAAAATGAGGACAATCTCTGTGAATACACATGGAGTGATTTCTAGGAATATATTATTGAGTGAAATAGAACAGAGTGCAAAAAAAAAGCCAGAGCACAGAGTAGGTATGCAAGCTGAGCATAGTGTTCGTAGTGTAAAAAGTGTAAAAAGTTTAAAACTGTTCAAAAAAATGATAGGAGAATGTCAAAGAGACACAGAAAAATAAAAAGAGGGAAATATAGACTTATGATCATCCATCTCATTAAAATGCTTAGAAAGAATAAGCAGAAACTAATGGGTTTGATTATCTTTGAAGATGGGTGGGAACAGACAGAAAGAAAAGGAAAATGGAAATGGAATAGTTGGAGGAAGGAGTAGTGACTCTTCTTGTTTTAAGTCTGACCTAGAAATATGGTAATATTACACAAATCTACAAAAATAAATGATTTAAATTGAGGAAGAGGAGAAAAGTGGGAGAACACAAATATAATAGAATAAAACAAGAACTATTACAAATGAGTAGCATAACAAAGGGGGTGAGGAAGAAAAAAAATCAAGCTAAGTAAATTTGGAAAACTGTACTTTTACTATGAAAAAACTGCATGTAAACATTCTCCAGTAATTCTTTTACTCTACAGGGGAATGTGTCAGCAATTCTGAAACTACTGGATGTCACACTAGATTTGAGAAAATGTGTAATGATACTGGACATAACAAGAGTCAGATCTGAGCAGAGTGCAAAAAAAAAAAAAAAGAGGGAAATATAGACATATGATCATCCATCTCATAAAAACTCCTTTTGGACAAAGGAGTAACAAATAAGGAAGAGGAAAACTAGAATGAAATTTGAGGTGTTGACTGGAATTAAAGGTATTATGACTTTTAATATACACACAGATAGGCATAGAAATAAATATGGATTTTGTGTGCATACACAAATATACAAACATGTATACCTTTTAGCTCTAGGTACCAAGAAAGCCCAGAAACAATGAAAGCCCAGTAGGAAAGAGCACACCTACCACTAAAGTCTTAGTTTATAAACATAATCTCTAAAAAGGAAGGAGTGTTCCTTGGAAAATGGTTGATTCCAGATGTGGGGCAGGAAAAATGCAAGCTGAGCATAGTGTAAAAAGTTTAAAACTGTTCAAAAAAATGATAGGGGAATGTCAAAGAGACACAGAGGCTCACTTGAAATATCTTTCAAAAGTACCTAAATCTGGGACAATTTGAGCGGCAAAATAAATAATACAATGAATTATACAAAATAATAAATTAAGTATCTATGAGTATATTGCTGGCATCCCCACATCCTTAGTTTCTGCATGTGCTGAATAGATAAACTATAGATTAAAAATATTCAGAAAAATATTTCATCTGTACTGAACATGTACAGACATTTTTCTAGTCAATATTCCCTAAACAACATACTATAGCAACTATTTACCCAGCACTTACACCATATTGGGTATTATAACTAGTTTAGAGATGATTTAAAGTTTAGGAGGCTGGGTGAGGTAGTGTATGTCTGTAATCCCAGCAAGGGGGCTTACAGGAGGCTGAAGAAGGAGGATGTCAAGTTTGAGGCCAGCCTCAGCAATTTCCCCAGGGTATTAGCAACTTCATGAGACCCTAACTCAAAATAAAAATTAAAAAGGGCTATGGATGTGGCTCAGTGGTTAAGTGCCCCTGGGCTCAATACCAGCACCAAAATAATTAAAAAACAAATAAGTAAATAGAGTATATAGGACGAAGTACATAGGTTCTATGCAAATATTATGCCACCTAATGTAAGGAGCTTAAGCATTTAAGGATTTTGGTAACTGAGAGGTTCCAGAATCAATCCTCCAGAGATAATGAATGAAGTCTATAATGATATAAATTTCAATTAATAATTGTAGAAGAAATGATGAAAACAAAAAAATCTTCGTTAGGTAAATACTATAATAATACTTGTTATAGGCAAAAATCATTAGTATAAACTAATATGTGGGCAGTATGATAAGATACAGGTTATTTTCATATTCTCAAATCTCCCCACAAAATACCCAGTAATTAAGGAGAAGATTATTTAATTTAACCCTGGAGATATCTGAAAAACACACCTTATCCAATTGAATAGTTACTATTGTCAATAAAAAGACATATCAGGATGCTGAGGCAGGGGGATTGCAAGTTTGAGACCAACCTCAGCAACTTATTGAGGCCCTACAGACTTGCGAGACCCTGTCTCAAAATAAAACCTAAAAAATAGGGCTGGCAATATGGCTCAGTGGTTATGAGATCCTGGATTTAATCCCTGAACCAAAAAAAAAAAAAGGACATATGAATATCATCAATATCATATACCTTCTGAAATGATGCATAAAGAAGGCCAATATTTCCTGGGTGGTATTGTAGCCAAAAATATAATCCTCAAGCTGATCTTTCAAAATCAGCATACAAATCCATAGTGGGGAAACATTCTATAAAACAGCCAGTCAGTCTTCTTTAAAAGCATCAAGGACATAGAGACAAAGAGGGGAACCATAAATTGAAGAAAACTAAGGTGATACAATAACTAAATAGAATGTGGGATACCGTGGCATAGCCATTTAAGGTGTTGGCATTAGGGGAAGCTGGGTAAAGAGTGCACTGGGGGTGGGGGGCGGGCTGGGGTTGTGGCTCAGTGGTAGAGTGCTCACCTAGCATGCATGAGGCTCTGGGTTCAATCCTCAGCACCACATAAAAATAAAGATATTGTATCCACCTAAAACTAAAAAATAATAATGAAAAAAAAAGAGTGCATGGGAATTCTATACTATGAAACTGGTCTATAGATCTAAAAATTATTACAAAACTAAAAACTTTTGAGCAGGGTGTGGTGACACATGTCTGTATTCCCAGCATACTTGGAGGCTGAGGCAACTTAAAGAGGTCAAGGTCAGCCTCAGCAACTTAGCAAGACCCTGTCTCAAAAGAAAAAAAGAGCTGGGGATGTGGCTCAGTGGTTAAGTGCCCCTAGTTCAATCCGTGGTACCAAAAAATAATTTTTTTGAGAAAATACATATTGCTTACATGTATATTTAGAAACACTAGAAATATTCACAAGAAGCCAATCAGAAGAGGTAATCATAACAAGGAGAGAGTGAGAGTGGTATAACTCAATGTTTATCATCATTTAATTTTTGAACCAGTAGAATATATATTATCTATTCAAAATTAAATTTTATGCTATAAAATAAAATAATGCCCTTTACCCATAACTGTCAAAAATATAAAACTATTTTGTGATTTTAGGAGAGTATCTGCTAAATAAGACTATTAAATCTTATCAATGAATTAAATATTTATTTCAAATTCCCTACCACATACCAGATTCAGTGAAACTTGACTGTAATATCACAAGATACACATCACTGTGCAAAGTTCACATTTAAACTGAATTTAGATAGCCTGTAGCAAGAGGAAAAAAAATAAAGAAGTAAGTTTGAAACAAAAAAGGATGCTCTGATATTAAAAACAAGATCCAATTCCTTGGACAGGACTGGTTTTTTGACCAAAACAGAGGTGTGTTAGATTCTAGGATTTGACTTTATTTCTTCTAAGACATAACATTCCTGTCACATAAGTCAATGTCCTAGGCCAAATATAAACTGTTCATGATACTCTGGAGAGTAACAAGACCTTAATTATATATTGTACATGCCCTCAAACTGTTCCCTGATGATCCCAGAGTCTATGGCCTCTGTCTCCTCTTGACTGATGCTCCTTCTTCTAAGGTCTACTCTAATCCAATGACTTTCAAACAGGTTAGCATCCCTGAAAAGGATACTAGGGGTCAGGTAGGGGAGTAATGAAAGTATAAAAGGGAAGGCCAAATAGATAAATTTGGGGCTCATGACCCTCAGTTTATCCAGAGCAGATCTGCTTTTAAGTTATTTTACGGACTGCTTTGGTTGTTTTTCTTTCTTTCTTTTTTTGGGGGGGGCAGGGGATGGGGGTACTGAGATTGAACCCAGAGGTTCTTTACCATTGATCCATATCCTCAACATTTTTATTTTTTATTTTGAAACAAGGTCTCACTAAGTTGCTTTTGGGCCTCACTAAATTGCTGAGTCTGACCTTGAACTTATGATCTTCCTGTCTCAGCTTATCAAATCTCTGGGATTACAGGTGTGGACCACTGCACCCAGCTTATATTTTGCATAAAGTTTGGTGTGCAGGAAGTTCTAGTGCTACAAAACCAAATTGAAACCACTTACCTAAACTAAACGTAAACTACTATATCTGAACTAACAAACCAGATGCATACTGGACAAAGATTAAGCAAAAATCTAATCTGAGAATTCAGGTTCTCTCTGGAAGTAATACAAAATTAAGAGGGCTACTTGAGAAACTTCAGAAACAGTCTATTATGCTAAGCCTTACCTGACCCCAAACACTTAAGCTAAATCAGATATACTCCAACTCCAGGGGTAAAGAAGCTAAATGTTGCTTATCATGAACTTAAGTACACTGGATTTTTTCTGTACAGTAAACACAATATTAAACATAATGTTTCCAAAATTAATACAAGTCTCTACCATACCTTTCGATCATCAGGTACCAGGTCCTGAAGCACCTTCCTCTTAGGCCACTCCTTGGCCAGTTCAGCAGAGGCCAGCTCCTGCAAGTGGTATACAGCTATCTTGGCAGAACGCCTCTGAACTCGCCCCCCACTTTTTGGCTCCAGGCTCATATCTTTTAAGCACTCTGGCTGTCCCGACTCTGGAAAGAAGGAAATCTGCAAGAATGAGACACACAAAACACAGGCCAGCAATTAAAAGTTGTCCATTCTGCTCTAAGTAGCAAAAGAGCTATTTACTAACTTTACCACTAACATTGAGCCCACCAGATTAGAGCATACTTTACTGGTAAAAAAAGTTTCTTATCAGGATAAAATAAATCTATTCTGTTGTATTAAGTAAAAGTGGTCAAAAATCAAGACACATTCTTATACAAAGAAATAAACTTCAACCCATACCTCACACTATATACAAAAATTAGCTTAAAACGACCACAGTTCTAAGTGTAAAATATTAAGTTATAAAAATTCTAGAAGAAACTGTGGGAAAAAATTTTTGTGATTATAAAGTGTCAATTTGGCTAGGCTAATGTCATAAATCAATCAAACTAATCTAGGTGATGTTAAGAGGAAATTCTATATAAATGTGATTCAAGTCCATAATCAGTTGACTTTAAGTAGGAGAGATGCAGCAGAAGAGGCAGGGGACCCGGGCATGGTGGTGCATGCCTGTAATCCCAATGGCTTGGGAGGCTGAGGTAGGAGGATTCTAAGTTCAAAGCTAGACTCAGCAACTTAGTGAGACCCTGTCTCTAAACAAAATATAAAAAAAGGGCTGACAATGTGACTCAGTGGTTAAGCGCCCCGGGGTTCAATGTCCACTGCCCAAAATAATAATAATAATTAAAGAACTAATGTAAAACATTTGTGTTGTTGGAAGCCGTTAAGTTTGTGGTGAATTACAGCAACAGCAGAAAATTACAAATTAGAAAAAGAAAAGATTTTCTAGATAAACAAATACAAAACCCACAAAAACAAAAAAAGTATGAATTGAACTTTATTGAAATGTAAAATTCTGTTATTTGAAAAACCTGTAAAATATGATATATCTGATGGGACTTGAATTCAGAATATATGAATAACTAAATATACTTACAACTTAATAAAACAATTTAAAAATCCCCCAAAATCTGCCCAAAAAATGATCAAAGGGTTTGAACAGGCACTTCACTAAACACAAACTACCTCCAAGTACTGTGGCACATGCATACAATTCCAGTGACTTCAGGAGGCTGAGGCAGGAGGATTCCAAGTTTGAGGCCAGTCTTGACAACTAGTGAGATCCTTTCTCAAAATGAAAAATAAAGGGCTGCTGTGAGTCATGGTATATATCTGTAATCCCATGGCTCAAAAGGCTAAGGCAGGAGGATCACATGTTTTAGGCCAGGCTCAGCAATTTAGCAAGACCCTAAGCAAATTAGTTTGACCTTGTTTCAAAATAAAAAATAAAAAGGGTTGGGGATATGACTCAGCACCCTGGTTCAATGCCCAGTACCAAAAAACTACACTGGACGTGTAGTTCAGTGGTGGTTACATGAATACAGGTGCCAAAACTCCTAAATGTACATTTAAAAAGGCAAATATTGGGCTGGGGATACAACTCAACTGGTAAAGTGCTTGTCTCCTATGCACAAGGCCCTGGGTTCAATCCCCAGCATCACAAAAAAAAAAAAAGAAAAAAAAAAGGGCAAATATTCCATACGTAAATTATATCTTAATAAACTTGACTCTCAAAAACACACAACAGGGAAGCTTGGAAATGTAATTAAGGGGAAAAAGTCAACACACATTTACACAAAACAAAAATTAGAATAGAGACAAGCTGGACAGAGTCCAAAAAAATCCAATTAAAGGGGAATGCTTTTAGTTTAAAAGATGCAACAATAAAGTTGGATGCGGTGGTGCATCCCTGTAATTTCACCTACTTGGGAGACAAAAGGACTATAAGTTCCAGGCCAGCTTCCACAACTTAATGAGACCCTATCTCAAAATAAATAAATAAATAAAAAGGGCAGGAGACTACAGGTCGATAGAAAAAGCCCCCTGGATTCAATTTCCAGTACCAAGGAAAAATAAAAAGCATTCACTTCTTCCTTAAATATACTTTAGTTTTTTTGGTTTGTTTTGTTTTCTGTGGTACCAGGGTAGAATTCAGGACCTTGTACATGGTAGGCTAGTACTCTACCACTGAGCAACATCTCCAGCTCTGGACTATACTTTGAATTTTCATTTCCCTAACCTAATAATGTTCCAAAATCAGAAATAAGAATGAGAAAAAGAATTAGAAAGAGAAAACAAAAGCATTCAAAGACTAAAAGTTGACACAAAAGGACAAACCAAGATATACAGAAAGAGGTAGGGGTACACACCACCAAGTACAACCCCCAAAAAGGGTCTAGAGAGGAGTCAATACTCACAGGCCCATGCTCTGACCTCAGGTGATATGCAAGTCCAGCCTTCGATCTATATGGTTTTCCACAGTGGTGACACTTCAGGGTCATCTTCTCCAGCTCTGCAGCCCCTTTGCCACATTTTCTAACATGGTATAGATATCCCATAATGCTGGTGAAGGTACTGGAGCAACTCTAAACACAGGAAACAGACCCACATTAGAATCTAAAATCTTGGGGTTTTTTTGGTACCAGGGATTGAACTCAGGGGTGCTTAACCCCTGAGTCACGTCCCCCAGATCTTTATATATTTTTTTTATTTTGAGACACAGTCTTACTAAGTTGCTTAGGACCTTGCTAAGTTGCTGAGGCTGGCTTTGAACTTGTGATCCTCCTGCCTCGGCCTACCAAGCCACTGGGATTACAGGCATGTGCCATGCCGTCCCACCCAGCTAGAATCTTACATCTTTTGACATGATCCCTAAATTTATAAAAAGCTATAACATTCACCACCAGAAAATACAAAAAAACACTGTGATGTTATAAGACTTTCTCCAACATTTCCCTTGGTACAATCCTTCTTTTTCCCTGGATGTCCTATCTGTGAGCCATGATATTCAATCAGTTTATTTAGTGTTGTAATTTGGGTGTGCCCCCAAAAGCTCATGTGTGAAACATTGCAAGAAGGTTTAGAGGAGAAACGATTAGATTATAAGAGCCTTAATCCAACCAATGAATTCCCTGATGGAATTAACTGAGTGGGACCTGAAGGCAGATAGGGTATGCCTGGAGGAGAACAGTCATTGGGGATATGCACTTGGGGTATACATTTGTATCTGGCAAGTGGAGCCTCCCTGTGCTTCCTGATCATCATGTGAGCTACCTTCCTTCACCACACTCACCATGCCTTAATTGAGCCCCAAGGAATGGACTGAGACCTCTGAAATGGTGAGCCCCAAATAAACTTTTCTTCCTCTAAAATTGTTCTTGTCAGGTCTTTTAGTCACAGCAGTAAAAAGCTGACTAATACAGTTGGCATTTGCTGAATTATAACCAGGCACCTACTTTGTATCATAGTTTCCTGCTTGGTCTATGATCCAACCCCACCCCAATATCAAACAGCCAGCAACATTAAAGTTGTTCATCACAGTGAGGTTACCTGGATCCTCTTCATCACACCAAAAAAAAAAAAAAAAAAAGTTGGTAAAGAAATCCCTCTAAACAAAGAGGAGGGGACTTTGGGGGATGAGAAAGAAAATAAAGAACCATAAATAAATTCAAGAGACCTAGAGAAGCAGGGGCCATCATATGCTGTAAGAACTAGGAAGTCCATAAAGGAAAAGAAGAGAAATGGAGAACAATAAAAGAAAGACAATGACCTGGGACTCCAGGGAGGAGTTGCTGTCCTTGAGCTCTTACCTCACGCATGCACCTGAGCTTTCCCAGTCTCTTTAGGACTGTTCGAAGCCGTTCCCTCTCACTTGGTTCATCTATTTCATCTCCAGCCTTCAAAATGGGCTAGAAATCAAGAGAAGCAAATAAGTAGATGATTCATGGAAATGCCAGACAGTAAAAGAAACACAGAAAATGAAGAACTGGATTAGCAGCTAAGCTAATATTTTGGTTTTCTCCAAGTTCTAGCTTTCTCCATCTTCTAGAGAGACAAAGGAAATAAAGAGAATATAAATAAGAGTCTGAGCCTCTTCCTCCCAGGATATAAGCCTTTGGGGATAACCTACTCACACAAGTATCTACGGTCTACCTCCATGATTTCATTGTGCATAAATCTTGAATAGAGTCTTCTTACACAACTATGAGGTTCCAGAACCTCAATCATCTGCACTGAGATATGTACACTCACCTAATAAAAGATATCCACACACCACATGAGCTCACAGAGAAGACACTCTTACCAAACTATTATGATTCGCCATGACATGATACTTCATCCCTGCCAGTGAACGAAGTTGTTTCCCACAATGATGGCAAGTAAACATTTCCTAAAAGAAAAACATAGTACTCAGTACTCCACTGTTCAACAGAGAAACAGAATACTACAAATTGCTATGCAGTGGGCTAAACACTTAGCATGCATTACTTCTTTCTTATCCACACATGGAATACCCACAGTAGTTATTTTTTCTCCATTCTACAAAAGAGGAAACTAAAGTCCACATATAAAAAGCTAAATGCCAAATTAACACAGAGCTAAGTGAGGATTCAAACCCAAGTCTGTCAAGTGCAAAGTCTACATTCTCTCTGCCACACAATGCTTCCCCCTAACCTGCTGTATTCAGCATATTATACACAGTACCAGGTCTAAATTTTGGGTATAAAGTCCTAACCATTATGAAATGCCGTAAGATATCTAACCTGTTTGCAGTTTTCCATGTGTTTCTTTAAACCCTCTATGGTCTTCCTCCCCACTGCCTGGCAGGTAGGACAGGAAACACTGCCTTTATCCACGATTTCTAAGTACCATTGTTCTTCCAAACTGCCTACAAAGGAGAGAAAAATGACACTTTATGATCTGCGGTATTCTCAAGAAACAAAAATCATAATTTCACAATTTAGGAAAAGTGTCATAAAATGGTTTTTCCCCTTCCTGGCTATTATATACAGATTCTTCCTGTATATAACTTCTAAAAGTTATCTTTTTCCAAAACAGACACTTAACAAATGCCTCCTTAAGAAATGCTCGAGTACATCACTCCTCATGGACAACAAAAATAAACCAGAGTTTATACTACATCCCACAAAGCTTCCAAAAGAAAGCATACCTGCTGCATAAACTGGTGGTTCCTTCCGAATACGACGAGCCTGGGATTTGGGATTAGGCTGAGTTTTAGGCCGTTGCTTCCTCCCTGACACAAGATGGAGACATGGAGTTCAACATGTTACCTTTACTAACCCCTCCCTAACACCAAAATCTCTTCCCTCCCCTTCACCTGGTCACAAAACCCCACTCATTCAACTGCCTGCCTCCTTTAAGTCACAAAAGTTAGGATGAGGCTACTCCCACCCCCAAATTCAAAGGGTTCTAAAGACAATAAAGGCCCAAACCAAAGGCCCAAACCTCTCTCTTTTTGTTTTAGTTGTTGATGGACCTTTATTTTATTTACTTATTTATAATATGGTGTTGAGAATCAAACCAGTGCCTCACACATACTAGGCAAGCACTCTATTCACTGAGCCACAACCCCAGCCCCCAAAGTCTCATTCTCTTTTATCCTCAAAGAATAAAGCCTAGTGACCCAAGGAAAAAGTAGCAAAATGAACCCCTTACCATAAAGCTTATGCTTTTTCTGAGGAAATTCACCATAATCTTCATCTTCTTCCTGCTTGGGTTTCCTTTTTCCTTTTGCTGATACTCCACCTGACCCTGAAATATCACACAAAAACAAAACACCAACTCAGTACAGTTTGTAAATGAACTTCTGGGTCTGTCTTCAAGACATCATTCACAAGACTATGAAAGAGAAAGATCACTAGTGAATGCAGGCCTCAAAGAAGTGTTGTGGTATTTTTAGGAAAGCTGGTGTAATTTCTAATTAACTGACTGACCCTCCACTCTGGAATCATCAATTCTTCCCTAAGAGTAAAAAAAGTCTTCAGGAAATATTTTGTTTCTTGATTTGAGGCTATCACTGAAGTAGAAGAACTGTTCAAGATAGAGAGCTACCAGTCAATTTTTATGACTGTGACTCTCTAGAATATACTACCATGACTCTTTATCCAGCCCTTACATCTGCAAAAAAAGAGCAAACCAGAACACAGGAAAGAAGTTCAAATCCCATAGAGAAGAAGGCTGATTTGAAGTTTAAACTAGAAGAGTAGAGTCAGCAGTATTTTACTCTATTAGACAATTCATGAAGCTAACAGTACGCAATAGCCTACCATGTTAAAATCTTTTAATCACTAATGAGGTTAAACATCTGTGGCATTTAATACTTTAAAAATCACTTATAGGGCAGGGGTTGTGGCTCAGTGGTAGAGCGCTTGCCTGGCATGTGTGAGGCACTGGGTTCAAGCCCCTGCACAACATAAAAATAAACAAAATAAAGGTATTGTGCCTAACTACAACTAAAAAAAAAAAAAGAATCACTTATAGCAACTATCTCAAAATATAACTTCAGAGCACACTGTCTTTGGAAACAGACATTAATTCTGATACCTTCAGTACGAGAAGTTCCAGCTGGTTTGATTCTCCTCATTTTCATCCAGTAGGTAGATTTTCGGAAGGATGCTGGAAAATCACTCACTGGTTCACATGAAGAGGCAGATGATGAGCCGCTTAAGGAGTCATCGTGAGGGATAGTGTACTGGAAACTATTATCCTTTATGGAGCACTGGGTCCTGCTACTAACACGACACAAAAATCATGTACCAACGAGGGTCTGGAGTAAAATCCTTATTAATTATTTTATCATAAGAAGATAATCAAGTCGATTACTTGTGCAAAAAACTAAGGCAGCTAATTTTATTTTATTAAGAAGGCTAATTTGGGGACTGGGGCTGTGATTCAGTGGTAGCGCACTTGCCTGGCATGTGTGAGGCACTGGGTTCGATTCTCGGCACTGCACATAGATGAATGAATAAAATAAAAGTCTATCAACAACTAAAAAAATATATATACATATATAAAAAGAAGGCTAATTTTTTAAAAAATTATAAATTGTAATCTAAAAATTACATTTATCAGTCTAACACAACATATATAATTATTATTATACTTCATTATAATCAGAAAGAGTAAGCAGTCCATTTTGCAATAGAAGGAAGAAATTCTTTCCTGGATTTATCTAAGAAAAAGAAATTTTAAGCAATGTAATTGGGTATTCTGTGGCTCTCAGATCCCCTAGATCAGTAACTAAATGTGTCCAAGTTTCCCTCTCTCTCTGCTAGAGGGACCTAACTAAAGGATATCTCTGAGAATACAAAGGGAAAAAAACAGTCTATAGACACTAATCTGATCCATCTTCCTTCTTGCTCAGTCTCCTCTATAAACCATAATGAGAGCTGCCTTGTCTTAACTTGGCAACACAATGCTTAGTTTCTACAGCTGAAGATAAAATGCTACCTTGTCTAAGTTACACTGTTTATAGACTCCTGATAAAAAGCTAGATCTAGATTCTTAAATCTAAGACTAGTGAGTATAACAATTGAAAAACATTACTGAGGGGCTGGGGCTGTAGCTCAGTGGTAGAACACTTGCCTAGCATATTTAAGGCACTAGGTCCAATTATCAGCACCACAAATAAATAAATTAATAAATAAAATAAAGGTTCATCAAAAATTTTAAAAATATTTCTAAAAAATTAATAAGCAGGGCATGGTGGCACATGCCTGTAATTCCAGTGACAAGAGGCTGAGGCAGGAGGACTGCAAATTTAAGACCAGCCTCAGCAATTTAGTGAGACCCATAGCAACTTAGACTCTCTCAAAATAATAAATTAAGAAAAAAAGGACTAAGGAGTAGCTCAGTGGTAAAGCACCCCTAGGTTAAATCCCCAATCTTGGGGAGGAGAAAAAAAATCACACATATCTTACATTTGTAAGAGTAGAGAATAAAAGTAAATTATCCCAGGTGACCTTCCTTAGGAAAATATATAAAATGTGATAGATACCAATTATGAAATACTATGTAGTTGTCAGACACAATAAGCCAATTCTACACACAGAATTTAACTAAAAGGCATTCTCTGATGAATGAAAAAAGAAATAGAAAGAATCTATTACAATGTCATCTCAGTAAATTAAAAATAAATACATATATAAAGCAGCTCTTCTAGTTTTAAAAGGATTCATAAATATTTAAGGACAAACATGACACTTATTTACATGGTTTCCTTTGGGAGAAAGGGGATGGAAATCAGCATAAACATAAAAGAAGATGGCTTCAGTATCCTATGAGTAGGGAAGAACAATTTTCAGTTCTCTGCACAATTTACAATTCTCTGCACGAGGTCACGTATTACAAATTCAATAGAGTGGTCTTGGTTCTGGTATGGTAGCATAAGCTCACTACAGCCCATCCTTCCTGCTGATTACAATGATAAACTTTGGACTCTTATATTAAACAAAAGCAGTGGATTATGCAGGGGAGTAAAAACTGAGAGATGTTACCTATGTGGAATGAGTTTCCCAGTTGTTTCATGACTCTGCAACAATGCTGGGCCTATGTGCAGAGCAGTATGGGCAGCTTAAATTCCAACAGAAACCCCAACTTTCTGGTTACATAATCAGGAAAAGGAGTCCCTGTTGGCAAGAGTATGGAAAATTCTGGAGAGAAGAAAGGCACAGAAGGCGATTCCATAATTTTACATTTGAAGCCATACAAATCACAGCCTAACCTGAGCAAGATATGTGAGAAGCATATTAAAATCAGTCTAGTAAAGACTGAAAACTGAAATAAAATTTGAACTAAGTGACCCAAAACAATGCAGCAAAAGCCTAGAGAACTGACAATCTGAGACACCTGAAGAAATCTCAAACTCACTCTTGGGCTATTGTGAATGAGATGAGCCCCCATTTACATCATAGCAAAAATGTAAAGGACAAAACTTGAGATTTTTAACAGTTGCTCTCAGAAGGTAAGGCAGAACTTAGGGCTTGAACCTAAACAGGCTGCCTGCTAAAAGAAAAACAGCAAGATTCGTATAGAAGATTACAATAGGATCCAAACTTTATATAAATAATATTCACAATGTTAAAGATAAGTTCCAAAATCATGCAACACAAAAAACCAGAAAAATATAATTCTCAACGGAATAGATCATCAACAGATACCAGAACTGTCAAATACTTTCAAGCTGCTATTATAATTGCTTATAAAGGAAAACACACATGAAATGAAAGACAAAGCAGGAATTATCAACAAACAGAAAGCATAAAAAAGAATCAAATGAGATTTCAGAACTGAAAAATGCAATATCTGAAATAAAAACTCACTGCATGGGTTCAGTAGCAGAATGAAGATGACTGAGGAAAGAGTCTGTGAACTTGAAGACAGAGCAATAGAAATGATCCAATCTGAAGAACAAAGAGAAAAAGGAAATTGAAAAAAAAAAAAAAACAGACTCAACAACCTGTGGATCAATCTCCAAGTTCTAACTTAAGTGTAGCTGTGGTTCAAGGAGAAGAGATACCATCTCTTCTCCTTGGAGAAAGAAAAATAATTTGGAAAAACTAATGATAAAAAACCTCCCACATTTAATGAAAGATATAAATTTAAAAGATTCGAGGAGCTCAACAAACACTAAGTAGGATAACTCAAAGAAAACACGCACAGACACATCTTAATCAAACAAAATTATTTAAAAGCAAAGATTGAAAATAAATCTAGAGAACAGCTTCAGAAAAGCAACATCTTACATTACAGGGACCAGAGATTCACACCATCATGGATTTCTCAACAGAAATCAAGGAGGCCAGAAGACAATGCAACAATATCTGTAAGATCCCAGGGGGTGGAGGGAGGGAAAGGAAAGGAGAGGTACAGGAGACTGAATTAGAACAAGAGATATTCCATGCTTTTATAATTATGTCAAAATGGATTCTATTGCAATGTATAACTAAAAAGAATCAATATAAATAAATAGATAAATAAATCTGTAAGATCCTGAGAGAAAAGATTTGTCAACTCAAGAATTCTACATTCAGTGAAAATACACTTAAGAATATTTCGGGGGTGGGGGGTTGTGGCTCAGTGGAGTGCTTGCCTAGCGCGTGTGAGGCCCTGGGTTTGATCCTCAGCACCACACAAAAGAATATTCTAACAAATAAAATGAAGTTATCTAAATAAAAATAAATAAAAACTAAGAGATTTAAGAAATGCTAAAGCTGAAGAAATTCCAGCTGAAGAAAAATGATACCACAGAGAAACTTGGATTTTCAAGAATGAAGCAACAGAAATGGTAAACACTGGGTAAGTATTTTTAAAATTTTAAAGCAAAATTTTAACATTATTTTGTAGAGTTTTTCAATATATGTTATGTAGGTACAATACATAAAACAACTATACTATAATGGGAGGTGGGCAAAAGATTAAAAGAATCTATATGGCTGTAAGGTTTCTACAATTTAAAAAAATTTTTTTTTTTTAGAGAATTTTAATATTTATTTTTTTTTAGTTTTCGGTGGACACAACATCTTTGTTTGTATGTGGTGCTGAGAATCGAACATGGGCGGCACGCAAGGCAGGCGAGTGTGCTACCGTTTGAGCCACATCCCCAGCCCAGATTTCTACAATTAAGCAAAGTGTTAGATATTAAATCTAAATAGACTGTAAAAGGATAAACATGAATATTATAAATCCTAAAGGATCCACTTAAAAAAATACAAAGAGACATAGACAAAAACCCAGTTATGGTAAATACATTTAAATGGGACACTAAGCACTCAAATACTCTGAAAGAACAACAAAGGGGAAAAAAAACAAGAAAGAGAACAAATAATATATGGACAGACCTAAATCCAAATATACCGATATTAATTTAAATGCTTATGGTCTAAACATTCCAGGTAAAAATCAGAGATTGAAATAATCAATAAAAAGGCAGACCCTACTAATATATTTGCTTACAAGAGACACACTTTAAATACAGACATAGACAGATTGTAAATGAATTAAAAAATCTATCCCAGATAATCAGCAAACATAAGAAAGTTGGAGTAGCTATTTTAATTTCATATAAAACAGACTTCAAGACAGACAGGATTGCCAGAGACAGACACTTCATGACAAAAATGTCAAATTATCAGGAAGACATAATTACCTGTTGTATGTGCCTAATAATAGGGCCTCAAAGTACTAAATCAAAAACTGATAGAATTAAAGGGGAAAATAGACATTCCACAATTTTAGGAAATTTTAATCTCTCCTCTCAGCAACTGGTAGAATTTTGACAAAAATTCAGTGAACACATAAATGAACTAAACTACATTAGCAGCCACCTTGTTTGAGTTACTAACATTCATAGAATGCTATACCCAACATACAGGATATGCATTCTTTTCAAGTGAATGCATTGTGCATTCACACCAAGAAAGATTACAGGCTGGGCCATAAACTTTAAACTTTTATTAAAGGAATGAAAATAACATTGCATTCTTTGACCACATCAAAATGAAAACAGAAACCAATAATAGTAAACTACTGAAAAAAAAAAAAAAGAAAAACACTTAAAAAATAAAACTTATGTAGAAATTAAATAATCTGCTCCTAAATAATTTAGAGGTCAAAAATTAAATTGCAAGAGAAATGTGAAAATATTTGGAGAAACAAGAAAAATTTATACACATGTGTGGCTGAGCCAGGCACAGTGGCGCATGCCCATGCCTATAATCCCAGCAGCTCAGGAGGCTGAGGCAGGAGGATTCAAAGGCAGCCTCAGCAATTCAGCAAGGTACTAAGCAACTCAATAAGAGCCTGTCCACTAAATAAAATATAAAAAAAGGACTGGGGAGGGCTGGGGCTCAGTGGCAGAGCGCTTGCATTGCACATGTGAGGCACTGAGTTTGATCCTCAGCACACAAAAAAAATAAAGATATTGTGTCCATCTACAATTTAAAAAAAATTTTTTAAAAAGGGGGAGGCGGCTGGGGAGCTGGGGTGGCTCAGTGGTAAAGTGCCCCTGGGTTCAAACCCTGGTACAAAAAAAAAGTGTGGCTGAAACTAAAGTACTTAGAAGGAAACTTAAGTTTTGATTGCTTGTATTAGAAAGACTAAAAATTAGTAACTAAAGTTTTAACTTTACGATAACTTAAGAAGAGCAAAGTAAAACAAAGAAAAGATGAAAAATCGATGGACTAGACAATGGAAACTGACAATAGGGAAAATCTGGTTCTTTGAAATGATCATAAAACTGAGAATCCTATAGCTAGACTGATCAAATTTTAAAAAAAGATACCATGAGTAATATCAGAAATTGAAGAGGTTATTATCACATATCATATGAACATTAAAGTACTGAGAATAATTCGAATAACTCTTTGCCAATAAATTAAACTGACATAAAAAAAAGAACAAACTGGAAATCTGAATAGCCCTACAGCTATTAAACTGAAATTGTCAAATTCTCCAAAAAAAAAAACTCCTCAAGGATCAGATTATTTCATGTTGAAACACACTGTAATAAGGTTACAAAAAGGAAAAAAAATCAAAAGGAAAAAAGTAAAACTGTCCACACTTTCAGATTATGTGACTGTTTACAAAGAAAAATACTAGGAATCTGCAAATAATTACTAGAACTAATAAGGGGATTTAGCAGGGCTGGGGATATAGCTCAGCTGGTAGAGTCTTGCCTCATATGCACAGGGCCCTTGGTTCAATACCCAGCACCACAAAAAAAAGGTGGGGGGGGGGAATTTAGCAAGTGGCAAGACACAAAGCTAGATACAATAGTCAATTATTAAGTGGGGCACAGTGGCTCAGGCCTGTAATCCCAGCAACTCAGGAGGCTGAGGTAGGAGGATCACAAATGCAAAGTCAGCCTCAGCAACTAGGCAAGACCCTCAACAACCAAAAGGGCCGGGGATATAGCTTCGTGGTAAAGTGCTCCTGGGTTCAATACCCAGTAACAAAGGGGCAGAAAAGGAAAGGAAAAAAAAGTCAATTATTATATATTAGCAACAAGCAACTAGAAAGTGACGTAAAAATGATACCATTTACGATAACATAAAATACTAACAAATCTAACAAAAGACATCCAAAGGCTTTTACTATGAAAACTACAACACATTGCTAAGAGTGTTAAGAAAACCTAAATGAATGGCAAAGTACCTCATGCTCATAAATAAGAAAAATGTTAAAATGGCATTTTCCTCAAATGAATCTATAGATCCAATATAATACCAATCAATACTCAACAAGTTTCTTTTTATAGATACTGGCAACTTGATTCTAGAATTTATATAAAAATGTAAAAAACCTAGAATAACTAAAATTATTTTTTTTAAATGCCAAAAGAGATAAGACTTGCCTTATCTAATTTCAAGACTTAACTCTAATCATTAACAGAACAGAATAAGAACTATCCAGAAACAGACCGATACAGATACATGTTCAACTGATTTTTTTTTTTTTTCTTTTAGGTTCTGGAGACTGATCCCAGGGCCTCTCAAATGCCAGGCAAGCACTCTACCAATGCACTATAATCTCCAGCTCTATGCAACTGAATTTTTATATATGTGTGTGGTGTAGCTAGACCTTTTTAAAAAAATTTTTTTGAAAGAGGTTCTTGATAAGTTGCCCAGGCTGGACTCAAACTTGTGATCCTACTGCCTCAGTCTCCCAAGAAGCTGGAATTACAGGTGTGCACCATCATGCCCGGCTTCAAGTGATTTTTGATAAAGGTATCAAAGCAATTCAATAAGAAAAGCCTTTTCAACAGTTGTTAAATATAGTAATGTAAAAATATTGACATTGACCCTCACCACACACCACACACAAAAATTAACTCTAGATGGGTCAAAGACCTATGTATAAAACCTACAAAACTTCTAGAAGATAGGAGAAAATCTTTGCAATTAGGGGAAGCAAGGTTTCTTAAAGAGAATAAAAAAGCAAGAAACATAAATGAACAATTTTTTTTTTTTTTTGTACTGGGACTTGAACTCAGGGGCATTTAACCACTGAGACACATCCCCAACCCTTTTTACTTATTATTTTGAGATAAGGTCTCACTAAGTTGCTTAGGGCCTCACTAAGTTGCTGAGGCTAGCCTAGAACTTGCAATCCTCCTGCCTCAGCCTCCTGAGTGGCTGGGATTACAGGCAAATACTACCATGCCTGGCAAATGAAACAATTTTTTAATGATACTTTAAAACTTTTGTCCTTCAAATGACATCACTCAGAGAATGAAAAACAAACCAGATTTTGTTTGTCAAGACATATTTATTAGACAAAGAAATTATATTCAGTATAGATTTTTTAAAATATTAAAACAAAGACAACCCCATTTTTTTAAAAATGGGTAAAAGATGTAAATACTTTACAAAAGATAAACAAATGACCAACAAGAACATGAGAAGATGCTCAACATCATTTAAAATGAATAAAAAACAAAAATTAAAATCACATCACTATACAACTATTAATTTAGCTAAGATTAAAATGATCAACTCTTATGTTACTTGTGTGAATGTAAATGATACTATTTTGCATAGGCAGTTTCATAAAAAGATAAACATACTCTGCCACATAACCCAGTCAACCTAGGATGGGAGATACTATTTTATGTACTAATCAAGTAAAATGGAAATATTTGTCCATATAAGATTCCTATGAGATGGGCACAACAATGCAAGCCTATAATCCCAGTGATTTGGGAGGCTGAGGCAGGAGGATCTCAAGTTCAGACAGCCTCAGCAACTTAGCAAGGCCCCCAGCAATTTGGTGAGACCCTGTCTCAAATTAAGAAGTAAAAACAGGCTGGGGATGTGGCTCAGTGGTTAAGCAACCCTGGGTTCAATTCCTGGCACAAGAAAGAGAGAGAATCACTATGTGATTTCATTTTATAAAATTCTAGAATATGTAAACCACTGTACATAAACAGAAAATAGGACTGTAATGCCTAAGGATGGGAGAGGAGAAAGAAATGGACTGCAAAGGGAAACAAAAAAAAAACTTTGGGGTTAGATAGAAAGGTTTGTTATCTTGATTACAATGATGGTTTCAGAGATGCATTTTATAAACAAACTGATTGTAAGGTAGTATTTATTTATTTGTAAGGATTAGACCTAGAGTCTGCCACACACTAGGTAAATGTTCTACCACCAAGATATTCCCCAAGCTCACAGTGTACACTTTGAATAAGTACAGTCTATTTTATATCAATTATACTTCAAATGGAAATTGGCAGTCCTTTAGGGCTGAAATCCACCATCCTAAACAATGGGATCAATCATTTCTCAATAAAGACTTGATTGTACCAACCAGGCATTAACAGCCAAGTCCCATGTGACTACTCTCAGGAAACTCTATACAAGTTTCTTTTCTTTTCTTAATTTTTTTTTTTTTTTTTTTTTTTAGAGACAGAGAGAGAGAGTTTTAACATTCATTTTTTAGTTTTCGGCGGACACAACATCTTTGTTTGTATGTAGTGCTGAGGATTGAACCCGGCCGCACACATGCCAGGTGAGCTTGAGCCACATCCCCAGCCCCATCTATACAAGTTTCTTAGTGTAAGACACAGAAATACATATCTCTCTTCTCGTGAATAAGCATGAACACAGTAAAAGATCCAGAGTTGATCATATGATCAACTTGATTAATATACTGGAGATTAAGTCATGATGGCTAGGGAATCCCTGTCTCTAAGTCTGTCTTTTGTTTGTAAAGGACTCAACAAAAACCATTAAATATTTTACACTATCAATTCAGAACATTTGACCATTTGTTGAAACCAGATTAATCTCAAAATTCCCTTTCCATAAACATAACAAGAAAAAGCTTTATTATGATATAATGGCTATCATAATTATGGTGATTTTATAATTTATCACCAATGTGGCAAGTCTCTGCTTCTGATTACAAAGATGAAAAGTTAAGCCAATTTTCAACCCTTTTCTGATCTATAAGAATTTTTAAGACCTTCTAGTTCATTCTTCTACATGTAAATATTTAGATTTCACTAAAAAAAAAAAAGTATTTTAGTTCATCCCAGTACTCTTTGTAGACTATTTATTTATTTATTTATTTATTTATTTATTTATGGTACAGGGGGATTGAACCCAGGGGCACTCAACCGCTGAGCCACATCCCCGGCCCTATTTTATCTAAAGTCAGGGTCTCACTGAGTTGCTTAGTACCTCGCTTCTGCTGGCTTTGAACTCATGATCCTCCTGCCTCAGCCTCCCGAGCCACTGAAATTACAGGCATGTGCCACTGCACCCAGTGTGCAGACTTCTTTAATTCTACAAAATCTTTATAAAGGCTGGTTTGCCAGGTGGTACATGCCTGTATTCTCAGCAATTCTGTAATTCCAGCAATTTGGGAGGCTAAGGCAGAAGGATCGCAAGTTCAAAGTCAGCCTCAGCAATTTAATAAGGCCCTAAGCAACGTGGCAAGGCCCTGTCTCAAAATAAAAAATAAAAAGGGCTGGAGATATGGCTCAGTGGTAAAGCACCCCTGGGTTCAATCCAAAAAAATTAAATTAAAATAAAGGCTAATATTCACCATGGTTTCATCCTCTACTCTTTTTTTAGTCTCTTCTCACCTTTGTTTCTTCAAATTCACAATTTCTAAAGAAGCTAGTTAAATAAAGATTCCCACACCCTAATCCCAATGATTTGGATTCTGATTAATGGATGGCAGCCCATCCATGTTTATACTTTTTAAGAATCATCCCTGGGTAAACCAAGGTAGACATTGAGAAATATTGCTTTAAACACATTCCCTAGAAGATCTCATGAATACTCATTTTGTAGAAGAAAATATGTTTTCAGTTAACTTTTATAGCGGATAATTCTCAATTTTTCATTTCAGACCAGCCCTTCACCTGAGGTCCAAATCCATTTATGTTTGTTCCAAATGTTGCTCCTCATTCAGAAATTCCCAGTTCAGTGAATTACTCCAACCTCAGCTGTTTGCCAGTGCCAGAAACCCACAGACATCCTAACTTTCTTTTGCTTAGCTCTAGCCTATATCATCATATATATTTCCTATGTATTGTTCCCCACATATTCTTCATTCCTCTCTTTTGTTCCTAAAATAGCCTCTGAACCAGTTTTCCAACACACTTCCTAATCCATCTTACATAAAGTTACCAGAGTGACCTTTCCCTTCCAGGATAAAAGTCCAACACCTGAGCATGCTGTTAAAAAAGGCTTGTTTTCAAGCTGGGAGGCTGAGGCAGGAGGATCTCCAGTTCAAAGCCAGCCTCAGCAAAAGCCTGCGCTAAACAACTCAGTAAGACCCTGTTTCTAAATAAAATACAAAATAGGACTGGGGATGTGGCTCAGTGGTCAAGCATCCCTGAGTTCAATCCCCGGTACCCTCCCCCCCCCCCCCCCCCCAAAAAAAGACCTTTCATGATCTGGCTAACCTCTTTGAGTGAACACTCTGCTAACCCCCATTCTCCATTCCAGTCATATAGAACACCTTGCTATCCCATTTACTTTTTACCTATTCAAATGTTGTTCTCTCTTCTGAAAAAATCCTTTCTCCTGGCTAACTGCATCTTTCCTCAACTTTCAAGCCTAGGCTTACAGATGATCTATTGTGGTTATTGCTCCCTTTCAGACTTTCACTCCCTTTCCCTAACAGCTATATTAAATTCTTACTTTAAAATATTTAGTTATTACACCGTATTTTGTTGGTTTTTTACAAATCCCCTCTTTGGATTTCTACTTTTGTTTTCCATTTCTGTATATCTAAATACATAGCTGGCAAAAAGCAGACATTTAGTCAATGTTATCTGAATGAATTAATCCATCTAATGAGAGTCTCAAATTTTTTTCTTTTAACTATGAAAAACTTAGCACATTCAGCATACAAAATAATAAGCCAGCCTTGCAGCCAAATAGTTTGAAAATACAAGAATTTCTCTCAGCCATATTTTCTCTTCCTTCCAAGATCAGCAATGTATTTATGAGCACGAATTTCATGTGGGGAGAAATGCTGGACTGCCACTGAATCATATCTTCTATTTTTATTATAATTTGTTCTTTTGGTTTGGTTTTTTTTTTTTTTTTTTGCAAGCTGTTTTCCTCCACTACAGTAGGTTTAGACCTGCACTGTGCAATTCAGTAGCCACTAGCTACAGGTGGCTATTTAAATTTGGTTAATTAAAATGTAATAAAAATTAAAATCCATTTGCTAGTTGCACTAGTTACACCTCAAGTGCTTAAAAGTCATACGTGGCTGGTGGCTACGATAATGGGCAGTGCGGACGCGGGATATTTTCATCAATCCAATGGACAGCGCTGGCGACACAATTATAAAAAGACCTTAGAAAAACCTCACTTACTTCTTAGCTCCCACGATCCTGGTGCTCCTCTGCTGCTTAAAGGACGTGGGTCCCGGGGTCTAGCAAATCACAAGCACAGAGTGAGGGCTAGGGTCCTCTGGACCTTGACCACAAAGAGATGACTCCCCCCTTGTGCCCAGAAGAAATGAGGCTCTCCCGGGGCAACTACCTCAAACGGAAAAAGGCAGCACTTTTCAGGAAAAGTATACGGTGCTCCCTTCCTACAACGCACAGGCGGGTGACAATACCTGCGCCTTCATCTTCCCCCATTCCCAAAGCTCTGTCCCAGGCAGAGGCTCTAAAAGGGAGGCGAAAAAAGACGACAACGGCTATGGGAGGCATTGGGGGATGTAAAAGAAACAGAAACTAATGGCAATCTGGAGAGGAACTGAATCCAGGGAGGTGGGGAAAAAGCAAAAAAAGTGGGGAAAGAAGAGGGGGGCAGGTGGATCTGATCTAAAAGGGTGGGGCCTACGATGGGGTCTGATAAAAACCAACTCTGAGCACAGGACAAAAGCGAGGGGCCGCGTGCTCCTGGCTCGACAGCGCTCCCTCTAAAGCATCATGGTCACCCCAAGGAACTCACAGCGGGGACTGCACCGAGTCTGGAAGACATCACTCCCTCTCCACGCCTAACAATTTCACCCAAGGGCTCCGGCCAGACCAACGCCACTTCCGCTCTCCTCGCCTCTCCCGGATGTGGCCTCGGCGCCGCCTAGCCCGGTTCTGAACGTCTACTTCCGCCTAGCAGCTTCCGAGGGGGCTGCGGCTGGAGAGTCACGTGACGTGCCCCCCCCCTCGGTTCCGGAGACCCCACCCCCTACTGCGGCGCGGGGCCTGGGAGAACGCGAGCTCGGGGCTGGAGCGAGGGGGCGGGGTCTGGAGACCAGCCGGCCCGGGCCTCCCGCCTGGTGCTCTGTCCCTTTGTACGACAACACTTGTCCCAGCTTTCCGCACCCACCCCGGTCGTGGTCCTGTAGATGCACATGGAGATCAATTATTGCCCCTTTATTGATCTTAGAGAAATTACAGACTCATTCTCTGTCCCCCTCCCCCAGGTAGAGAGATCAAGCAGCCCTTTCATTGCTGAGGGTGCAGGAATTGGAGGCAGTGGCTGAGCAGGAAAGAAGCCAGGAAAGGGAGAAAATTTAAGGAAGACGATTTATAACAGGGGCAGAGCTCTCCTCATCTACTAGCTTCGGGCCTCCAAGCTCGTCTTGCTTTTGAAGTTGTCCTTTTGGTCTGCGGGAGGCATGGCTGAGTAACTCTTGGAATCTTTAGACAAACTATGTCTGGGCCTCTCCTTAGGGGAGCTGTGCTTGAGCCTCTCCTTGGGGAGATTCTGTTGGATTCCCTCCGTGTGGCTGCTGTGCCTCCTCTCAGAGTGGCTGCGGTGTCTCCTCCCAGAGTGACCGCGGTGTCTCCTCCCAGAGTGACCGCGGTGTCTTCTCTGAGAATGACCGCGGTGTCTCCTCTTGGAATGACGACGCTGACTTCTCTCAGAGGGACGGTGACACGTCCTGTCAGTGGTGCTGTGATCGCTTCTCTCAGGGTGGCGATGCTTGCTCCTCTCGGAGGGCCTGTGTTGCCTCAGCTCAAAGGGACTGTGATGGGTTCTCCCAGAAGGACTGTGTCCTCTTACCTCGGGGGCACTGCCGAAGGAGAGCTTAGAGAAATTACCGCGGCTCCTCCCTGAGGGACTGCCACGACGGCTCCTCTCTGAGGGACTTCTCCTCTCTGAGGGACTGCGACGTCTCCTCTCTGAGGGACTGCGACGGCTCCTCCCTGAGGGACTGCGACGGCTCCTCCCTGAGGGACTTCGAGGGCTCCTCCCTGAGGGACTGCGAAGGCTCCTCCCTGAAGGACTGCGACGGCTCCTCCCTGAGGGACTTCGAGGGCTCCTCCCTGAGGGACTGCGACGTCTTCTCTCTGAGGGACTGCGAGGACTGCGACGGCTCCTCTCTGTGGCACTGCGACGGCCCCTCTCAGAGGGGCTGCGAGGGCTCCTTTCTGAGGTACTTCGACGGCTCCTCTCTGTGGGACTGCGAAGTCTCCTCTCTGAGGGACTGCGACACCTCTTCTCTGAGGGACTGTGACCTTTTCTCCCTGAGGAACTGCGATGGCTCCTGGGTGAGGTACTTTGGCGACTCCTCTCTGAGGTACTGCGACGGCTCCTCTCTGAGGTGCTGGGATGGCTCCTCTCTGAGGTACTGAGATGACTCCTCTCTGAGGTACTGCGACGGCTCCTCTCTGAGGTACTGGGATGGCTCCTCTCTGAAGTACTGCGACGGCTCCTGTCAGAGGGAGTGCGATGGCTCCTCTCTGAGGTACTTCGACGCCTCTCTAAGGAACTGTGATGTTTTCTCCCTGAGGCTCTGCGATGGCTCCTCTCTGAGGGTCTATGCTGCTTTCTCTCTGAAGGACTGCAAATGCTCCTCTCTGAGGGACTGGGACATACCACCTCGGAGGGACTGACATGGTTCTTCTCTGAGGGACTGTGAGGTGGCCTCTCTGAGGAGCTTTGATGACTCCCGTCTAAGAGACTGTGACGTCTCCTCTCTGGGGCATCGTGATGGCTCCTCTTCAAGGGACTGCGATGTGTCCCCTCTGAGAGTCCCTGATGGCTCCTCTCAGAGACACTGGAAAGGGTTCTGTCGGAAGGGCTGCGCTGGCTCTTCTCAGGGGCGTTCTGCGGGGTTCTGTCCCCCTGGTGGCAGCTGGCCTCCTTGGGAGGGCCTTTCCCGTTATGGTCACTGTGCGCGTTTCTCTTCACCTGAAGTCTGGTTTCGGCTTTGAGCACATTCTTGGACTTCTGACTGGAAATTTCATCTTTATGGAGGGTTTTCTTGGCACTGCTGCTGCTGTCATTTTGAACTACACCCAAAGTCTGCCTGACAGAAGCCGTTTGTAAAGTGACCTCTCTTTGGGACACTGTGGGCTTGGGCAGTTGGAGAGGTCTGGATTGGCAAGGGCTCTCTGTTGGTGGCTGTGGGGCTGATTTGCTTTGGTTTGTGTCCTCCAACAATATGTCCTCCTTCTTAGTGCTTGGACTAGGTGGCCTTTGCTTGACAACTGGTGTCCCGTCTCCTTTTTTATCTTTTGGTAAACAGTAGTCTCTGGCTTTTGGTTTTGAATCATAGCTTTTGCTTGACCACAAATCATCGGGCCTGGTCTTGTCCTCAGGCTTCTGTCCAAAAGAAGCTATCATTCTGCATGCTGCTTGGAATGCCTGCTTGAGGCCCTGAAAGAGCAGTCGCAGGAACTTGGGCTGGGGGGATTTCTTAATTGGTCTTTTTAAGGAAGCAGAACTTGTACGAGCTACCACAGTCCTCTTTCTTTTTAAAGGGGCTGGGAATTCCTTAGGGGGACTCTGTATTGTGGCTCCAGTGTTTGTGTTTGGTGTTCCTTTGTTGATTCTCTTCACTGGAAATTTTGAATCCCAGGATTTTTTGGTTCTCACTTGAGCCCATGTTTCATCCTGATAGCAGCTTACAGAGTCACTCTCTGATAGGGAGTGCACATGAGACAATTCATAATGCCCAAACTCTCCAATTTCTGTCTTTCCTACTAGACCAGGGCTACCCCATTGCCTTTGTTTGCTATAGACTGGTACAGGAGCAGGGGACTGGAAAGCTCTAGACTGGAAATCTCTCGTGGGAGTAGGATTCTTAGAAACTGGAGTATAAATTTTAGCTTTCCTTTTTGATGGTGCTATAGGACTATTTGGTGTCATGGGTCTGCTTCTTCCATGATACTTTGAAACTTGGGATCTTTTTCCAGTCCGCAACCTAAAGCCAAGATGCAACCGAATCTCACCATGGCCTTCAGGAGTACTTACAAGGTGGATCTGTGGATAGATAAGAAGATAAGGCCCAAAAGTGGTATGTATTTTATGACAGCAATTAAATCCTAAACATCGGCCACACTGTAGACAGATAGGGTATTTTAGGACAAGACCTGAAGCTAGAGGTGGAGGCACATTGGGGGGTATTTGACTCCTTAAGAGTTTTGCTGCTATTTTTAGCTGCAGTTCTTGTAGCAATTGAAACTGTTCTGAAAAGTCAGTCTTGACCGGAGAAAGATAACTTGGCTTGGAGGAGTGTTGGGACTTAAAAATTCTTCTCTGTGAATCACTCTGTGTGTTTTCACTCTCTTCCTGGGAAATAGGATCCTCCCTATTATAATATATCTTGATAGAAGACTCTGACTTTGCTAGGGCAGGAAGCTGGCCCTCAGCATATGAGATAGGCATATGCTGAGTGACTTCCTGGGATATATTACTGAGCTTTGAGTCTGTTTTCTTTGTGCCCAATCTGGTCCCAGAGTATTGCCGTATTATGGAAGCCGTGGAGCCACGTGTCCACATCCTTAGAGTCCCTCTTTGATCAGGACCGTGGCATAAAGTATGTCTCTGAATGTAACTTTTGACCACTGAATGCTGTGAAATAGTACATGGACCATTCTTTAGCAGGCTCTGGGAAAATTCCATCAGTTCAGCTGGAACCCCAAATAAATTCTGAATAGACTTACAGATATCTGTAGTGGCTCTTTCTGCTAAACATATTCGAGAACAAAGCTTCTTTTCCATAGTCGTCCCCAAGACATTCCCTAGCGTTAGCATAGCAGAGAGATATTTTCTAGGTAGTCGCTGCCTATTGACATGATTCTCCCAGACATTCTGTTGTCTGCCCAAGAAAGGCCGAGCAGAACCTCTTTGAGACCCTGATCTTCCCTGGAGAGTCCCAGATGGTGATCTCCAGCTTCGTGATGGATGTTGGGAATGGTTCTGGAGTGAGTCCTCTGACTTCTCCATCTGCTTCTTCTTAGTTATCTCCTTAAATGTGATATCCACTCCCACAGTCTCAGGATGTGGGGTTTCCACAATGTTCACTGTATTATCAGAGGGTTCATTTTGAAGGTCCCAGAGAAGAGATGATGACTGCATCATAACAGAGTCAGAATAGGACTCTTCAGGCTGCAAAATATATGTCCCAAGGTTCTTCATATCCAAAGCTCTTGATACTTCTGAGATCCCAGAACCCCAAAGGCTTCCTAATTCAGATGTTTTGACAGAACTTGAAATGAGTGGGGTTGAAGAGCTGTTTAGGGACTCTAAGAAAAAATCACTTACTTGTGACTCTTCTTCTGACATTGATTCCTTAGAGTCCCAATTTTGACACATCTGTCCTTGATTCAAATCCTCAGATTTCATAACTTTAGGAGATTCTGTTTTTATCTCTGAGGATTTTGCAGGCGTCAACTTTTGCTCATGAGTCAATATTGTTGGTTCCTCAAATGGAGATGTTTGTTTTGAGGCTAATTCTGCAGACATCACTCGAATACTTGGCCTGGGAGTTAATTTTGCAGGTTGTGCCAGTTCTTGAAGATAAGGCATTGGGACTAAATCCAAATAATCCATTACATAAATCTCTGATCCCCTGGCTACTCCTATTGTGCCTACAACCTGAGGAACTGGTCCTGGTGCTAATTCCTCAGATTTTACAATTTGATACAATGGCCCTGGGGTTAACACAATCTTTTCCAAAATTTGATGTGTTGGCTCTGTGATTAATTCTTTATATTTCATATTCTGTAACCATGGGCTTGAGGTCAACTCTGAAGATCTTACGTCTTGATGTTTTGGAGTCAACTCAATATTTTCTGCCATTTGAGGTTTTGGCCCTGGTGTTGCCACAGACTCCGCAAGTTGAAGTGGTGGCCTAGGGGTCACTTTTACAGATTCTACAACTTTTGGGGGAGCTGCTGGCATCACCCCTACTAATTGAGCAACTTGAATCTGTGATGTGACATGATCCAGTGGTTTTGGACTAATCTTCTTACCTTTTATAATTTGACTCGGTGGTCCTGCTGGAGCTATCCCTGAATTTTTTCTTCTTTGATTCTGTGACTTTGTTAGCCCACTTGATACCTTATCTTGCTGCCATGTCTCAGAGTTGAGCTCTATAGATTCTGCATGTCCCACAACTTGACTTTTTTGCTTTGGAGCCAACTTTAAAGATTCCTCCATTTCCAGTGATGGCTTAGAGATCAGAGTTACAGATTCTGGGACTTTATCTCCTAACCCTAATGATATTCCTAAAGATCCCACATGATGTTGTGACTTTGGGGTCAATTCCATAGGTTCCTCAGAAGTAAGCTCCACAGATTCAGGACCTTGAATGTGTCCTAGCCATGGTGTCATCCCTGAAGCAGAATCTGGGACATGATATGATGGCTTTGGCAATGATATTTCAGTTTTTTCCCTTTGCATTCTTTTCTCAGAGATCATCCCCACAGGTTCTAAGGTTTGAGGATAGTGCTTTGGAGAGTTCTCAGCATATCCAGTAGTTTGACTTATTGTCTTTGGGGTTGTTCCAAGAAATTCTTTCCCTTGCAACCTTGCTTCACAGATCAACCCTATATCTTCTGTAGCATGATGCTTGAATTCTTGGATCATCCCTTCAGGTTCTATAACTTGCTGTAATGGTTTTATATATAACTCCCCCAAATCCTTAACTTGAGGCCATGATTGAGAGAGCATCCCCAGAGTTTCTGGGATTTGGTAGCTTTTCTCTGAGGTTAATTTTAAGGATCTTGAGCCTTGATCCCTTAGCACCGAAGCCAGATCAACAGATTCTGGTACTTGAAGATCTAGCTGTAGAGGCATTTCTAAAAATTCTGTGGCTTTATCTGTTGGCTTTGAGGTCAATCCCACAGATTTCTCCACAGTTTCTGTGTCTTTTTGTGCCAACTCTTGTGTCATTTCTGGAGATTCTGGGGCTTGGTAAATTGATATTGAATTAAAATTCACAGTTGTAGGGACTTGCTGCTTTGGCTTTGGGATCATCTCTGAATATTCTACAATCTGTTTCCCTGGGCCAGAGATAACTTCAGAGGATTCTGTGGTTTGATCACTTCTTGGAGTTTGGTTACCAGATTTCTGTTTTTGAGGCAGTGACTTAGGTGCTAACTCCACAGATTTTACAGTTTGCTGCAGAGACACTGAAGACAATTTCAGATGTTTTATACTTTGCAACTTTGGCTCTGGAGTAAACTCCAAAGTTTTTACATCTTGTTGCTGTGATTCAGGAAACAAATTTGAAAATTTGACACTAGCCAATGCTGGTCCTGTTAGAAACTCACTATTTGGTTTTGGTGTCAACATCACTGATTTTACACCTAAAGTCAACTCTTGGCAGTCCATATCTTCATATTGCTGGGACCTTGGCCTCAGATTCACAGGTTTTACATTTTGAAAACCTGAGTTCGGTGTGAAGATCACAGGTTTAACACATTGAGAACTGAGGCATGATGTCAACCCTAAAGAATTTACACTTTGAAGTTGTGGCCCTGGTTTCCACTCCAGAGATGTCATAGCCTGACAATATGGCTTTGGTGCAAACATACTGTGATGCTTGAGGTGTAAAGGCAACTTCTCAGAATTCATACCTTGAGGATGTGACTCTGTGTTTAATTCCACAGATTTCACTCTTTGAAAACGTGGTTCTACCGCATATACCCCATATTCCAAGTCCTGAAGCCCAGGGCCTGAAATCAATTTTACAGAATTCTCGCCAAAAGGCAATGGCTCTTTACTCATCTCTGTAGACTGTACATCTGTATGCAGGTGTAAAGATTGCACACCATTTAACTGATGACCCAAAGTGAACAGAGATTGTACAACTTGCTGCTCTGACTCAAATTGGTTCTCCAAAAATTGAAACTTTGTTTCTGCAGTTAACTCAGATGATTTCATACTTTGCAAGTAGGGCCCAGAGTTTAACAAAACAGATTTTGTACCTTGAGATTCTGACCCAAGATTCAGTTCAGAGGGCTTCATGGTTTGCACCTGTGGCCCTGGACTAAACTTAAAATTTATGCGTTCAAATTCTGAATTCAAGTTGGAAGAATTCATACCTTGAAGTTGAAGATCAGAGTTGAACTCCATTGGTATCACATTTTGGAACTTTGTCCCTGAAGTCAATTCACATTTTATATCTTGTACATGTTGTACAGAGTTGAATAAAACAGATTCCATGCCTTGTTGCTCTGGCCCTAGGTGAAATTCAGATTTCATACTTGGAATTTTTATTCCTGAAGTCAATTCAAAAGTTGTAATATCTTGCAATACTGGCCCATGTTTGTATTCCATGGACTTTATAAATTCTAATTTTGGCTCTGAATTTAATTTAGAAGAATTTACACAGTGTACATGTGGTCCAGGGCTGCATTCCATAGGTGCTAAACCTAGAAATTTTGACCCTGCAGTCAGTTCAGATTTCAACCTTGACCCTGGAGTCAGTTCAGATTTCAAATCCTGTGAATGTAGTCCAGAGTTAACTATCATAGTTTTTTCCCTCTCTAAATTCAACTCACAAGGCTTTATACCTTGAAATTTTGCAATTGGAGTTAACTCAGAAGACTTCACACCTTGAAAATGTGGTCCAGGGTGGCACCCAATAGAATTTACAAACTGAGGTTTGGACCCTGGAACAGATGAAGAGTTCACACCTTGAAAATGTGGCCCAGGGTGGCACCCAGTAGAATTTTCACACTGGGGTTTGGGCTCTGGAAGAGATGCAGAATTCACACCTTGAAAATGTGGCCCAGGGTGGCACCCAGTAGAATTTTCACACTGAAGTTTGGGCTCTGGA